TAGACATCAGGTGCATGCAGCTGTGTGATTTTCAGTCACTGTTCTTTAATTTAGTCCAAGACTGTGAAGAATGTTCAAGACCATACAGCTTTTGGATAGACTTCCTCTAGAGCCCACAGCTATGGGTCTCCTCTACCCAGAACTTCAGGGCTTTCTCAGACAGAGATGTTTGYGCCAGGCATGGTGACACACGCCTGTCATCCTAGGTGCTGCGGAGGCTGAAACAAGAGGATCAACACAAGTTGAGGCTAGCCTGGGCAACTTAGTGAGACCCTGTCTCAAAATAAAAAATAAAAAGAAGTTGAGGGTATGGCTCAGTGGTAGAGGACCTCGGAGTTCAATCCCCAGTGCCCCACCCCCTGAAAAAAGAGAGGTCTATGCACATGTCCCATCCTGGAGTCACATGATGGGCTACCTGTTCTCAAGCTGAGGCAGGCTAACCTCTTTTTATCACTGGGGCATGAAATCATTTTGGAGGTTGCAACAACCTTTTATAAATTATGGATGAATAGACTGGAAAATATTACTCTTGAGTAAATGTTGTTTTCTGAAATTSTTCCCATTTCTGTGTGGGCTCTGGGCTTCAGTCAAACAAAGGCAAAAGTCATTGGTAGGGAGCATGGCCCCACTTTTATACTTAATTGGGACCATACATAGCACTTTACAAAGCAAGAAGTTTAGTACAACGTGGCTGTATGTGTGCTGTATCAAATGAGCAGAGTGTTGTAGGAGTAACTATCACAGAATGGTTTGTAAGCCCTTTACATCGCCTTTTCGATTTCGTTCTGCATTTTGTCCAGTTGAAATGAACAGAAATTCAGGGGGTAATCCCCAGTGGTGCCACAAGATGGTACTGAGGCGCCACTGGGTTCCCGATGGATTTGGAGGGGGCTCYGCTACTCAAGCTCTTTTGGCTCCTTTGGCTCCTCTGAAAAGCAGTGATGGTCAGTGATGAGGAGTTCTCTTCTATTGTTGGAGAGAAGCTCTCCCTGCTTSTTTTCTGTACTCATCCAGTAATTCAGCGAATACACCTGCTGTGCGAGACTCAAGTCTAAATGACACCACTGGGTGACATTAAGCCGGTTTAGATTATTCTGAAGCCTTGAACTCCCAAAGTGGCCCATTGTAATACCAGCGTTCCTTATCCTAACGAAGGCCTGTCTGCCAGGGAAATCCAGGGTAGCCTTAAGGGGAATTGAGTAAGCACACTCGGGGCATTTCTCAGCCTTGGCACTGTGGGTATCTGGGGCAGGATTACTCTTCTTTGGGAGGGGCTCTGTTCTGTTCATGACAGGATGGTGTTTTTGTTTTTTTAATTTTTTAAGTTGTAGATGGACACAGTATCTYTATTTATTTCTTTTTACATGGTGCTAAGGATCGAACCCAGTGCCTCCCACATTCTAGGCAGGTGCTCTACCACTGAGCTGCAACCCCAGCCCTGGTTTGGTTTTTGAGACAGAGGTCTCTGTGTTGCCCAGGCTGGACTCCGGCTCCTGAGCTCAAGCAGTCCTCCTGCCCCAGCCTCCCAGGTTGCTGGGACTGCTGGCCCGCACACCACACCTGGCCTCAGTCTGCTTTAGTCTCTCTCCGAGTACATGTTTATATGTAATTGCAACATTTTTTCATTTGCTTATTTTATTTAATACTGTATTCCTTCATAATTTTTTCAGTGACTGGTGATATCCGGTAGTTGACGTGCTGTAGTAACCCTTCTCTTTTTATTAGACATTAGATTGATTCATTTTTGTTTTCTGTAGAAGACACTTAAAGTCAAGAGCATGTGCCTGTCTCCTTRCTTCTTTTGGGAGGCATAAATTAACATAAATTCCCAACAGTAGTGATTACTAGCTCAAAGCATAAAAAGAACTTGTGGCTCTTGAAATCTGTTGCCAGCTACTTTCCAAAGGAGAGTTTTTATGGCCATGAACCATGTGCAGCAGTGAGTACTTTTGCCCTGTCCTTGCTGGGACTGGCTTTTAGAAACTCTTCTTCTTCTTTGTGGACAAGAGCCATATATATGAGAGGAAATCAAATTCTCATTGAGGATTTGTTAAAATTATTTTTAAAATATAGGTAGAGGGTTAAGGGTATAGCTCAGTGGTGGAGTGCTTGCCTAGCAGGCCCCAGGTCCTAGGTATGATTGCCAGTACTGAAAAAATATGCAGTGTGCACATACGTACGCATGTACTCATCTATACATAGAAGCCGTGCTGTCTCCATTCTCCGCACCGCCCCCACCTCTGTACAGCTCCAGRGGTCTCCTATAAAACAGGTTGGACTGTCACTTGTTCTGCTTATGAAACGTTTATTGAACATTTGTTACATATTTGTGGTTCTAAGTACTTTGCACATGTTAACTGGCTTGGTCCTCACAGCCCTGTGAGGTGTTCAGTGGTTACCTGAGTTTTGCAGTCACCTAGTGATAATGGTGGCACCTGCTACAGTGGGGATGGGCATTGGGCCAGGATTTGATCCCAGGTGTCCGTACTTGCCCATGAGGTAACCCAGCTTGAAACTCAGCATCCCCGTCACGGTCAGGCCCCTTCTTGTCTCTCCACCACTTTGCCTTCCGCAGGCCTCTGCCCTGCCGAGCCTACTCCTCTGTCCCTCAGCCTTGCTGCATGTGGCTACTGGGCATGATCCTTTTCACACTCTCTGACTTCCGTGTGTCTGGAGAAGTGCTCATCCTTCGCCTTTCTGTGTACCCCTCCCTCAGGGGTGCCGTGGGGCTCTGATATCCACCTTGCCCACCTCCACAGGGTTGGCACACACTGGGTTACAGACCCACTGAGCACACGGCTTGCTTATCCACTAGCCACCAGCGCTCGTCTCAGGTCCTGCTCTTTTTTTTTTTTAGTTGCGGATGGACACAGTCGCTTCATTTATTTTTATATGGTGCTGAGGATCAAACCCAGTGCTAAGCAAGCGCTCTCTCGGGTCCTGCTTTTTCTTAAGTAATTTTCTTTCTTTCAGAATTGCTTTGATAATGTAGGACAATGGCAAGGATAACACGGGGTTCTCACACGCCCAGTTTCCCCCACTGTTTTAATGACTCATTAACGGTATGCTTGTCAGCGTCTGAACCAGTGTGATGATTGTAGTAGCCATAGCCAAGGCCCTATTCTGATTTCCTTTGTTTTTAACCTGAAGCCCTCTTCCTGTTCCAGAATCCAGCCTGGACTCCACACCACGTCTAATCACCACGTGTCCTTAGGCTCCGTTGGCCATGATAGTTTCTCAGACTTCTTTTGGGTCAGGACTGTAAAATGTCTGTCAGTCAGGACTTGCCAGTGTTCTCCTCATGGCTGTGGAAACGCTGTGTAGTCGGGAGGAAGAGCAGAGGTCAGGTGCCTTTGTAACAGGGAAACTCACCCTGTGCAGCCCACGCTGAGGGGGAGGCCCAGCTGTGCCCTCCTCTGTGATGGCAGGGTCTCTGCAGGCCGTTTCTGCACAAGGTGGGGGGGTCCTTTCTCCTCCCTTTACATCAGGGTGGACTCGTGGGTGTTGATTTATACTTCAGGTTATGATCCAGCACTACATTATTTATCTCATTCACAAATGGTTCCAGCTTTGGCCGTTGGGAGTGCTTTCACTTGGCCTCTGTCCCTTTACAGATCCCATTGCTGGGCTCTCCCCACTCCTCTCCAGCTCTCCCGTCCTTTCTTGCAGACACCTGTCAGGCATGTGGCCTGCCTCACTCAGAGTCAGCCACTTTCCTAGAAGTCCTGGCTCTTTTGCTGCAGGAATGGTATGAGAAATTGAGATCTGGGGCAACTCAGGAGGCAGAGGCAAGAGGATCCCAAGTTCAAGGCCAACCTGGGCCATCTAGCAAGACCCTTTTTCAAAATTAAATTTATATTTGGTTGTAGCTGGACACAATACTTTTTTTTTTTTTAAAGAGAGAGTGAGAGAGGAGAGAGAGAATGAATTTTTCTTTTTTTAATATTTATTTTTTAGTTCTCGGCGGACACAACATCTTTGTTGGTATGTGGTGCTGAGAATCGAACCCGGGCCGCACGCATGCCAGGCGAGTGTGCTACCGCTTGAGCCACATCCCCAGCCCACACAATACTTTTTATTTATTTATTTGTATGTGGTGCTGAGGATGGAACCCAGGGCCTCGAATGTGCCAGGCGAGCGCTCTACCACTGAGCCACAACCCCAGCCCCRTAACATACATCTTTTAAAAAATTAAGTTTAAGGGCTGGGGTTATGGCTCAGTGGTAGAGCACTCTACTCTACAAGGCATGTACAAGGCCCTGGGTTCGAATAAAATAAAAAGTTATTGTGTACAACTACAAAAAAATGAAAATATTTTAAAAAATTAAATTTAAAAAGGGCTGGAGATGTAGCTCACTGGGCGAGTACTTGCCTAATGTGCACAGGCCCTGGGTCTGATCCCCAGCAGCTCCTTGGAGGAGGAGGAGGGTCTGGAAACAAGTTGTCTCTGTACTGTGCTTTCAGCCAGCTCAGCCACACTGTGCTCCTGGCAGCCGTGACAGGGAAAGCACTGGAAGCTTAGGAACTACTCATGGGGCGTCCACAGAGGCCTCTGGGCCCTTGTTTGGGAAGAGGCGGGAGCTGGCATGTTTGTTGTGGGCAGAACTTTCTGCTGTAGTTTTGAAAATCCTTTTGCTGGCTGCAGTAGATCTTGAGCCCTCTGCAGGGATGTGAGTCCAGCGTTGAATGTTGAAGGCGCATGGGGTCATTCCCCTTCTGTGGGTGATAGGCACTGGTAGTAACGAGGTATACCAAAGCTTGTTTTGTGGGGTGTCGGGTTTCCTTGTGTGCTGCTGGACCTCTTGGTGAGGATGCCCCATCCCCTAAGGTCACTTATGCAATGACCCTTGCTTTGGTATGGGGCATTGGTGGGTATGATGGCTGGCTGTCCAGGATCAAAGAGTTCCTGAAGTCCCCTCTGTTCCCCTCCTTTTTTAAAAACACTCCTGACTCTCCAAGTGGCTCTGCACGTCTGTAATCTGAATGTCATGTGGTTACAGGACCCAGTCAGTCCCAGGAGCAGCAGTCCAGTAGCTCTGAGGAGGCATCTGGAACAGAGGAGGAGGAAGACGAACCCAGCTTCATCATGAGGCGATGAGGTGCTTACACAGCARCCATTGGGCGCCTGGTCATTCTATGACAGGGGCCCCAAATCCTCATTGTGACCAGAAGGAAAGAGAGCCTGTTTGGCTCAGCTGCCCAGGACTCGCTGCATAGGGAGCACGTGGGAGCTGCTTGCAGTCTTGTTGGCAGGACTCTGCCTGGGGGACAAGGGATCGTGTCCTGGAGGGCACTGCCTCGATCCTCCTTCCATGCTCCTGCTTTAGGGAAAGGCCTCATCGCTGACCGCTGGCTGCTGTTCTCTGGGATTTAAATGGCAGTGAGCTTGGGGCTGGTTTCTGTTAAGGGAATATTTATTTAGTAAAAAACAAACAAAAACAGAAAACCTCTAGGCGCTGTTCACATACACAGAACGTTGATCACAGAGCCGTGGAAAGGCTGTGAGGTGACACGGAGGCGGGGCCTGGAAGGCCAGCAGTCCTGTTTGCTGGTCAGCTCCCTACCCCTGCCCAGCCTGCAGCCCTGCTCTGGTGCCTGCGCGGTCGCTGGTCCCTGATCCTGTTCCTCCTCTGAGGATGCAGAGCAAGCTGCACAAGAGCCACAGCTCAGCAGCTCCCAGAACCAGGGGAGGTGTGGGAGGGACTTCACCAGGGGCTGGGCCACAGGAACAGGCCCTGCTGGCAGGGGGCTGTTGGGAACAGTGGAAACCAGAGGATTAGCAGCGGGAGAATCCAGGCTCTGTACGGGGTCTGAGCCAAGCTGCCAAGCTGCGCTAGGGGCCAAAGCTGCATTTCTATCCTGATGTCACCAGGAATCTAAACAGAAGGGGGACTGAAGTATCCGGACAGCTGGTTGGAACTTTACTCCAGGTCACAGGAGCCAGAGACAGAGAGGAGGCCAGCCCTCCCGCTGTGTCCTCAGGTGGATACAGTCTAAGCCCTGTGTGCACACTGGCCCAGGGACAAGCAGTGCAGGGTGCTGTGCTGGAGCAGGGAGCTTGGGAGGTGATCACAGTTAGCTCTGACCTCAGTGTCTTTTGGAGATAACCCCACCTTTGACCTGGGTGCCTTGAGGCCAGTTAGGGCAACAAAGACAGTTTGTGTTGAGAGTCTGTGCTCCGTTTTTGGATCATTTCCAGCTCCTGCGCATGTATGTGCCTTTTATGGACTTGGGTAGCTGTAAGGAAAAAGTGGTTTGAGTGAAGGGAAACAGAAGGTTTTACTTCTTTCACACAGAGTTCCCTGGCCCCACTGAGAGCCATGGGACATCACTGATAACTTCTGTCCCAGGAGTTTCTCTTTCCCAAGAAGCAGAAATGAAGAGTCAGTCCTAATAAATTAACACATACCCTGGCTATGTATTTGGAAGCCTGCATTTCTCATGCTGGGGACTGGCCAGATGGTTTTGTGGGGGGTTTTTGTTTTGTTGTTTGTTTGTTTGTTTTGATTGAACAGAAGGGTGCTTTACCATGGAGCTAGATCCCCAGACCTTTTTTTATTTTGAGAAAGGATCTTGCTAAATTGACCAGTTGGCCTCCTACCTCAGCCTCATAAGTCGCTGGGATTATCCGCAGGAGCCTGCCTCCATATTTCCCTGAGGAGCAGGGGTTCAGGGTTCACTCTGTAGTATAGGGCATAGCATTGTCGCATGTGTCTGTAGGCAGAGAGTGTGTGTGAGCAACTTGGAGTGACAGGGACAGTTTCCTGAAGCAGGGAACTACACGTTGTCRCCCCTTGCCATAACACTGTGTGGATACAGGACCACAGGTGTCAGCCGTGGCCAGCCCTGACTGCCCTCAGATGGCCCCTTTCCACCCCAGACCTCCACTGCTCCCTATCCCTCATGTTAACTGTCAGAGCAGGAAGAAAGGAGGCATTCGGGTCACCCTGACACTGCCCCCAGCCCACAGCGTCATCTGCCACAGCTCAGATGGTCTCACCTGTCTCCTGAATCTCCTCCCTGAGCCAGCACACAGCCCGGTCTCCATCTGTCCTCCCAACCTCAGTCCAGCCCCACGTTCTCTGTTTGCTTCCACAGCTTCCCGCATCCCACTCCATGGTCTCACTGATGAGACAGCCCTCACCAGGTAGCCCTTGGTAGCCTTTGTAGTCTCACTCAGCATTCCTGGCGGGGCCTTGCTGGCTGGCTTCYTGCCTTTGCTTGCCTCTCAGCTCACCCTGCAGTGCTGGGGTGACCCAGTGTGCTCCCGTGTCCTGGCCAGAAGGTCTTGTCTGGCTTTAGACACTGTCCTTGCTGGAACCTTGTGAGGGTGTGAGYTTCCTCCCCTCAGAGCCCCGTACTTGGGTCCCACTGCCTGCCGAGGGCTCCTCTTCATGTCCAATGGGAGCCTCTAGCTGGTATGAGAAGAATGAGAATTTCAGCCTATCCCCCCCCCATTTCCCCACTGTGGTGAGCTGTGYCACCATCCATACCAGTACTTGAGCCCCTCATCTGAGGGTCAGGGTCATCTTTGGTTCCTGTTTTCTTACCCCCCACCATCATCCATCAGAAAGTTCTGGACTTGCTCACTCTCTGGTCTCTCTCATTCYGCACACTCCACAAACACCAGCATCTTTTGGCCACTTCTGCTTATTCTCTACCCSCAATCCATCCTCCACATAGTAGCCAGAGTCTCTTTAAAAACTCACCAGATCTTTCCACCCCGCTGTGTTTGGGCCCCTGGCTTCCCTCACTGGGGATGAACAGGAGCTGCCAGGCTCTGCCGTCAGACTCTGCCTCCGCCCCCTCATCCCTGGCCATCTCCCCGGCTCTGGGCCAACCTTGAGTGCCCTGCACTTGCCCTGCTGTGTCCTCTTAGTGGGGCCTCAGCCACATCACTTGGAGAGGCCTTTCTCACCACCACCTGTTTCTCCAGCACAACACCTGTCATTATTTCCTGCCCTGCCACACCTTCAGCTCCAAAAGGACAAGGCCCTTTGCTCATTCTGGTTTTTGTTGCATTCCCTAGTGCCAGCACAGTGCTTGGGACATCACAGGTGCTCAGTAAATGACCTTTAAATGATTGAGCAGAGCCAGGCACTGGAAGCAGAGAAGTTCTTCAAACCCAACAAACTGCAGATACGGCAGGAAAATGTTTAGAYACCAGTCAGTGGTTGGTTAAAAGGGATTGTCCCATGCATGCAGCACCTGGGAGGGACCTGCTTAGAAATCCAGATACCAGGGTGACGTTCCCCCAGAGAACTGATTCATTACATTTCAGGCCCAAAATATACATTTTAAGTATGAGATCCAGGAAGGCTGGCTTGGAGCACCTTAGCTACCATTACTGCTTTAAATTCACTTTTCTGGTTTTAACATTTATCTTTTGGAAAAAATGTGAAATTGAGTTAGAGAAGTGATGTTCTACTGACCTTTTGAAACTCAGTCCAGTTCCTAAGGCCACACAGAAGGCRGAGAAACCGCATATCTGGTGATCGTGGAAACAGGCGTGTTCCCCCTTCTCCCCTCTGGAAGTTAATTTCTGTTTACTCTTTGGCATACTTGATGAAAGTGAGCTACGATTATCATATATTAGCATGTATTTCCATAAAGAGCAATCYTAGAAATTAACCTGGAACAAGTCCAAAGAAGCTGTTTCTTGTTCCAGGAAATKCAGCAAATGTTTACTGAATGCAAAGTGCTCAACCCAAATGATCCCAGGGTCATTGCTAGGCACTGGATATGGTGAAGGTGAGTTTCCCTTCAAGCAGTCCCACACTTTGATCAGGAACAGGACCTGAGCACAACAGTGCAGAGTGCTGTGCAGGCCTCTGACCCTGCCTTCAGGAGGCAACCTGTCATTTTGTGTTGCAGGGAAAAACTGGAAGGGAATAGGTGGGAAACTGGCAGTAACCCAGCCCTCGGAGCCACCAGTGGCCTGAACAGAGGCAAGTTCCAGCAGGAGAATTCAGGGAGAGGAGGAGGCCAGGATGATACCAGGTTGACCATGTCACCAGTGGGGGATGAAGGAATATCCCCTGGGGACATGTGGCCCAGGAGGTGGACAGGTGTGTGACGGAAAAATGACAAAATGTAGCTGTGGGCATGGTGACGTCGAGGGTCCCTGGGATGTGCACTKCAGAGATGACTCCCAGGCTTAGGAGATCCGACCTAAGAGGATAGCTTGGAGTCTCGGGTTGCACCTGGTCCCTGGACCAATAGAAAAGGGGGAGATGTTAAAGAGGGTGAGAAAGAGATGGGAGATAGCTGGAGGGATTGAGCAGTGGAGGAAAGGAATGGGTCTCAGCAAGGTCAGGGGAGAGCCATGGTGGGATATGAAGAGAATAAGAAAAATTAGAAAGTGTTTACTGAACGCAAAGTGCTAAACCCAAATGATTCCAGGGTCATTACTAGGCACTTGGAGTGGGCTTTCTCCTCTTCRTGTCCAGTGGAAGCCAAGTGAGTGTAATGGTTTGTCCTCCCAATTCATTCAGGAACTTAATCTCCAAAGTTTTATGATAATAGTATTAAGAAGCTAAAAACAATCCAACTGAGTTTAAAGGTGGGGCTTTGGGAAAGAGATTAGATTTGAGGGCCCTGTGATTGAATCCCACTGACTTTGAGAGGGAGAAAGACTACACAGAGATACCCACATGCCCACTGTGATCTAATGCAGTCCCGGGGTCTTCCCCAGAGCCTGGGCCACTGCATTTGGACCTCATACCTTCAGAACTGTGAGTCAAAATAAACYTCATCTTTATAAAGTAGCCTGCCTCTGGTATTTCATTATAGTAATGGAAAACTGACTAAAACAGTGGAATGTTTGAAATTTTACAGAGGAGCTGCCATGGGTGATGGCAAGGGCTAGGCCATAAGAGTGAATGGTCAAGGGGACAGAAGCAAGGCACCAGGGATCTGGAAACATTAGCTGTGCCAACTGTTGAGTCCATCCTAAAGGGAAAACAAGGACCTTAGTGCCACTGAGTGTGTATGGCCTCAAGCTGGTCTGTTTCCAAGCAGGATAGCTAAGGCCCTAGGAGAGATGGGACTTGTCCTGACCGCCATCTAGGAAAGTGGCACAAACTGGCCAACATCCTGGCCATCAGCACTTGTGAGCCTTCACCTGAACCTCCCACTCACCCCCCTTGTGCCAGAGGACACCTCTGACTAGCACTTYTGTGACTTAAATCTGCTTTCAGTAGTGTCTTCACGTGTCCTCCCTCCATCTTCTAAGGGAGAGAAGAGCGCCTTTCATTTGGTTAGGACCTGGGCCCTGAGAGCTGTGGTGCTGCTTCTGTCTGGACATGCTGGATTGTGCTTGGCACTGGAAGCTCTAGAGGACAGCACTTCAGGCTTCCTGAGTAAGACTGAGCACTCATGCTGCCCCTGCAGAGGAATTTTCATCTATGATGCAACTACTGTAGTTTACAGAATGTTTTCTTCCTCTTTTTAAGTTCATTTATCAAGAACTTGAGGTTGAGGTTTGAAAGACACAGCACGATAGCTTTATGAGGACTCTGCTCTCTGAAATTAAAATGCCCTCTTTCCTATAGCTAAGGGGCAGGGACAGTAATCAGACCCTGGGATTTTCTTATGTCATTGTTAGGGCCTAACATCCCTGTTGAGTCAGTAACCAGCGGGAGGAAACTGGTTTAGTCTGTTTTTAAGTGTCCTGGATAAAAAGGTAACATTCCTGGACCCTGAAGTGTAAAGGGATTTAGCCTGGCATTTGCAACGTTTATACTCTCGCAATTGCCGGAAAACCTGGTCTGGGTGACAGGAGTGGAATTTTTCTTTCGTTTGGATAAATGTGTCACRGTCGAATGCTGTTGTGACAGATGGAAAAATCCTATGTAGGGCACGCAGCAGCCTACCAGGCACGAAGGAAGGACCCTTAGGGGCCGTCTGGCACCGGCGGGTTGATATGAACCCATCCTGCCTCTCTGAATTATTCATGTGCACTTCCTGAAAAGAACGCTCCTGTTTGAATATCTCGGTCGTAAAACCGCAGCGCTCACCCAAGGGTGAGAAGTTCGCTGCAGAGCGCCCGAAGGGGCGGGCGGCAGCCCTTTGGTGCGGTCTGTGAGTTCTCCGCGCAGCTCCCGGGGGTTGCTGTGCCGGGTTAGGTGCCGRCAGGTCTCCCTGAGAGTGGGCTGTGTGACCCGGGCGACCCAGACCAGCTCGGTGCGGGCTCCGCGTGGTGCCCGCACACACCCTGGGCAAACTCGGGCGTGGCCTGGCCCTTCCACCCTTTGCCCCACCCCACCCTCCCGGGGCAAGGGCGATGCTGGGCATCCTTGGAGGCTGTGAACCCAGGCGCTTCTCGTCAGTGCTCAGGCTCACCCTCCACGGGCCGGCCCTGCCGGTCCTTGGCGTTTGATCCAGGGCCAGAGAAAGTCCAGCTCGTGAGTAGGTGGCCCGGGTGGGGCCCCGTCCTCTGGCTCGCCTCGCTGCCGGCCAGTCATCCTGCGCCCAGCGGAGGCAGGAGAGGTGACCCCGGCTCGCAGTTTTCCCGGGGCGCAGCCCCACGGTGGTCCCGGCGAGGGAAGAGACCCCGGAGCTCCCGCCCCCCCATCCGGCGGGTCACGTGGCCCAGCTCCCCGTGGGCCGGTCACGTGATGGCGGCGCGCCGTTGCCTTGGCAGCGGCTGCGGCGGCCGGCGGGGGCGGGGCGGCCGGCGGAGGCGGGGCCGGGGGACCCCGCTCTCYGGGCGGAAGGAGGGAGGGGGCCGCGCTCCGCGCCGGGCCGGGCCACGCCACTGGGCCACGCCACCGCTGCCTGCCGCGAGCCCGGAGCGGCGCCGGGGCGGCGGGCAGGGCAGCTCCGGTGAGTGTCGGCGCGGGCGCGCCCCCTGCTCCCCCGGCCTCTGGGCGGGGGGCGCGGGGTGCTTCCCGCCCCGCTGGGGGGCCGAATCGGACCGGGGACACTGGGACTGGCCCTGGGGAGGCTTGGGACGGAGCGGAAAGAGGATGGCCGTGGGGGTGGGGGCAGCCAGGTGGCCAGTCCCGCGGGATTCCGAGCACGGTGAGGTGCCCAGAGGATTCGGAAGTTGCGGGCACCGGCCAAATCCAGGGCTTCGCGAGGGGAAGGGACAGGAGATGCAGATGGACRCTTGTGGGAGCTGCAGGGTCCCCTCCCCGCACCCTTGGTGACAGCGACATTTCCCGTGCCCCAGATGTTCAGAGGAAGTCAAGGCAGACAAACTCTAAACCCGGCCCCTGGGAACGATTCTGACCCGCCCGCCTAGGAGAATCGCTGCTTCTTTCTCCAGACCTCTTTTCTCAGACCGCTCCTGATAAAAACAACCAAGAAACCCCAAAAGGTTTAGCCAGGAGAGCATCCTTGGGAGCTTGTGCGTCTGACAGAAATGTCGGCTCCATCTTGGCCCCCCCTTACCTCCTCCCTGAGCCTGGAGCTGGGGACCAGACTCTGGGCCACCCCTTGGGACACAGACTGTCACCCCGTAGGTCCTGGCTGGGAGGGTGAGGGGTGGATTTGAATCCTATCCTGGCTGGTACCTCTGGAGGAAGTAGCTTCCCTACCTTGGGGATCTAGCTCCAGGCAGGCAGGCAGCCCTTCCTGCCCAGCCCCCACTCCCCACAAACACACACACTCTGGGGACATCTGCAGCAGAGTTCAGCCTCTCCCCAGAGGCTGTCCTCAGCCTTCACTTCTCTGAGGCTGTAATCTCCACTCTGACTGGAGCCCAGCTACTTGTGGCCCCTAGGCTTCCCTCTGCTGTACCCCAATGTCCCTTCCTGGGGGCACCAGGCTCCCAGTCTTTTCAGTCCACCCACTATTTCACTGAGTGAATGGTTCCAATACAGATGGACCCAGCAGGGCCTAAAGGTGCCCATCACCAGTCTCTCCATCCCCCAGGGCCAAGCACCACCAGAGAGAACCCTGMAGTTACACTGCTGGCCACGCAGGCCCTGCCCCGTGCTGCTCTCCTGCTCCAAGTGTCTTCTCCCTGCCTGCCAGGCAGCCAGCCTTTCCACCTTGTCCCCAGACATGTGTCCAAAGCTGGTCTTCCTGCCTTTTAGAACCCTCYCTGCTGCAGCATCTTATCTTTTAAGGGAGGGTCCCTCTCAGGGCCAGTTTAGTACTTGGGTCTGAGTCCCCTAATCTTGCTCTCTGGTGTTGCTCSGGGGTTAGCTCCCTGTGAACTGTCCATTGGACCACAGGCCCAGTTCTGTTCTGTGTGGGGAAAAGGAAATGTGCACTTCCACATTCTGACACTTTTCATTTATTTGGAGCTAACCCATAGATTGTTCAGTGGGCATCATTTCTTTGAATTCTCCCCAAGGGAAGGGACCTTCAAGTGATGAAGTGCTTGGATGAGTACTGCTGGCTGCAAATGAGGACAAGGTGTAACCCAGATGCCCAAGTTGGCATTCCTGTACGTGACTTGATCCCTTGGCAGATAGCAGAGCAGGGGTCTTGTTGGTTGGCCAGTAAGAAAGAGCTGTGACTTTGTGACCTGGTGGGGAACAAGGAGAAAAGCAGATCAARGGAGACCTTTCCCCACCTCTGACATCTTCCTGTTATCCTCCTAGAGATAGACGTGGATGGATGGTTCCTTTGCTGCTGACTCTGGTCAACACCCCCAGCACACCCCCTCCCAGGTGCCCTCCTTGGAGCTGGGAACCCCCGCTGTGCTTCCAATGCCTGAGCTGGCTTTCCAGGAGGCCCAGTGGATCTGATTGCAGAAGTTACTAAGGCCAAGCAAGGTGCCTGTGTCCTTGAAGCAAGCCCCAGAGATTAATTAGAGCCAGATCCCAGGCTGCTCAGGCTGCCCCCGGAGCCCCTGGAGACCCTCCAGTCCCCTATTTAGATTAGCAGGGACTTGGGTTAAATTCACAGATCTCAACAAATCAGTCCTTCTGATGTTTGGGCCACATTTCAAGCCCCGTGTCTAGGAGGGTGACCGCAAGGGTCTCCAGTCTCCATTCCTCCTTAAAAGTTGCTCATGTCATTTGAGGGCTTTGATTTTTCATTTGGCCACAGGTTCCTATTGCAGCCAGGATGGCTTCTTTAAGTTATATAAACTAAAGATTGGCTTTTGGGGTGAACTGTGCTGATTAGAATTTAGTTGGAAGCGTTTGTTCCATGGGTGGCGCTTGGTCATGGAATGCAGCTTTGAATCTTGAGGGGCATTGTCTTCAAGGGTCCTGGAGGTGGGAGTACCCCCAGTTTTTGTTTTGAATTCAGGGCCTCACCCATAGCAGGCAAGTGCTCTACCACTGAGCCGYACCCCAGCCCAAGGTCCCCAATTCTGAAGATGAAGGCTTGAGGTTCGCAGGTCAGGCGTCGCGCTCAGGATCTCACAGCAGAGTCAGATTCCTGTTTCTTTTCTTTTTCTTTCTTTTTTATTTGGTACTGGGGATTGAAMCCAGGGGCACTTGGCCACTGAGCCCCATCCCCAGCCCTATTTTGTATTTTATTTAAAGACAGGGTCTCATTGAGTTGTTTAGCGCCCTACCATTGCTGAGGCTGGCTTTAAACTTGGAATCCTCCTGCCTCAGCCTCCCAGGCTGCTGGGATTACAGGCATGAGGTACCATGCCCAGCCAGGCCCTATTTCTTTAGGGCCTAGACTTTTTTTCTTCTCCCATGGTGTTGCTGGGGCTGGAACCCAGGCCTCCTCCACTGAGCTCACTTACGACCCCCTCAGCTCTCTCTGAACACACAGTAGCCTGTTCCTGGCGTATGGCACACATGAGGGGATTCAGTGGCAGCCTTCAAGTTCCACTCACCCACGGCCACGCTGAGTCGGAGCCTCACTGAGCGCTGAGAGGGCGGTGCCTTTTAGCTTTGCAGGTGGTGGTGGGTGGTGAGCCTCCTCTTCTGCAGCTGGCTCTCACACTGTGGYGTGGGGACCTCCTCAGAGACCAGGACCCCACATCCACTCTACCTTGGGCCCTGTATAGCTCTGCAGGCCCTGGGAGGGTTAAAAAGACTTGGGAATCTGGCTTTTCTTTCCTGTGTGTGTTTTTTGCAGTACTGGGGAGTCCCRGGGATGCTCTACCACCGAGCTACACCCCAGCCCTTTTTATTTTTCATTTTTATTCAAGGTCTTGCTACATTGCTTAGGGTCTTGCTAAGTTGCRCAGGCTGATCTTAAACTTRTGATCCTCCTGCCTCAGCCTCCCTACTGGCTGGGATTATAGGCGTGTGCCACCACTCCCAGCACAAGTATGACTTTTCAAGGCTCCAGAACTATCTGGGGCACCTGATATTGTCCCTGTCTTACCCGCAGCCTGGCCCCCACCATGAGTGCCGAGCTCAACGTCCCCGTGGACCCCTCCACCCCGGCCTGCCCTGAGCCCGGCCACAAGGGCATGGATTACCGCGACTGGGTCCGCCGCAGCTACCTGGAACTGGTCACCTCCAACCACCACTCAGTGCAGGCCCTGTCCTGGAGGAAGCTCTACCTGAGCAGGGCCAAGCTGAAGGCCTCCAGCAGGACCTCGGCCCTCCTCTCGGGCTTCGCCATGGTGAGTACAGCGTGGCGGGGGCCCACCTTGGAGAGCACTSTGTTGCTCCTCCCCATAGCCAGAGTGCACCAGGGAGTCTGTCCGACCCGCTCCTCCCAGAGCACTGTGCTGTACATGCAGGGTTGCTGGGACTGGGGAGCCCCCCCAAGCCTGAATCCTCAGAAAGCCCCTCTTCATGATGAGAAGGTAGTGGGGGGTGGAAACCGCTCCATGGACAGGCACCCTGCAGCCCTTCCTTGGAGCCACCCAGGAGCTGGGACACCTGCAGGACTTGAGTCCTGACTCAGGATCGGTTGGGGTTAGGCTGGTTGGGGAGGTAGATGCTGGCCAAGTGTGGCGTCCTCGGGTGGTGCAGAAGTTCTGGCCTGCTTCCCCGCCACTTTCCCTCTGAGTCATCCCAGGACAGGAGTCAGTCTTGGCAAAGCCACGCCTGCTGTTGATTCCACTCCCTGTCCCACAGGATTGTCCCAGAGGGTGAGGATGGCAGGGCTCAGCCCTCACTGCTGTGTGCTGAGGTGCATTTGGGCTGGAAWTGATTGATTTCTTTTTGTAACAATCATTTTTCTATAACCCACSGATGTTAAATTGACAGTGCAATTTAAAATAAAAAGCCGAGGGGGCGTGGTGGGACACGCCTGTGATCCCAGCAGCTCAGATCAGAGGCTGAGGTGGGAGGATCACCAGTTGAGGCCAGCCTCAGTAAAAGGGCTGCGGTGTGGCTCAGCGGGTAAGCACCCCTGGGCTTAACCCCCAGTAGGAAAACAAAACAAAAAGCCAGAAGCAAAAAGCGGGCAGAGCAAGCCTCCTCAGTCCCCCCTGCCCTCCTCCTAGTCAGAGAGGGCTGGAGGCCCSGAGGGCGGGATCTCATGGGATCTCACGGGGCTGCAGAGGTCGCCCAGCTCAGAGGCAGCACATTGGAAGGCAGCACATTTGTGTTTAGGTCTGTGGTTGAGAGAAAGGCTTATTTAAAGGTCCTGTGTTTTATTTTTATAACATGATTACAGAAGTGTGTAATCAGGTGGTGCACAACTTTGGCTTTTACTGATTTTCTTCCTGTGGTTTTCATCTTGTTAAAAAAAGAGTGTTTTCTCAAGTTTGATTTAAAGGAATGCTTGTGAGAAGTTGTTGTTTGGGTTTTTGGTGGCGCTGGCCATTGAACCCAGGGCACTTGACTTGTGCTACACCCCCAGCCCTTTTTATTTTTTACTTTGAGACAGAGTCTCGCTAAGTTGCTGAGGCTGGCCTTGGCCTTGCAATCCTCCTGTCTCAGCCTTCCAAGCCACTGAGGTTACTGGGTGGCCCGTCACTGCACAGTGTTGAACGCTTACCCACTTGAAGACTTCACAGCCTTTTGAGATTTGAAAACAAACCCTGCAAGTGAAGTTTTATGAGTGAATTCTGGAGAAGAGGAGGTGTTTTCAGACTTCAGCCCTCCGGGGTGGTGAGCAGCCACTGAGAGGCAGGAGGGGGAAGCCCAAGTCACCTGCACCTCCAGGGGYGCTGTCTGTCCTCTGCCCGGCTGTGGCACTCACACTTGCTGGTTCTAATTCATCTCTTCTCAGTGGACACAGTGTCTCCTCTTCCAGAAGTTTCCCCCAGGGGAAGCTGCCACAGCCTACGGCGTGCTGCAACTCAGCCCAACGGCTGGTTCTGGGAAGGCAGGAAGCAACTGAGGGAGGGACTAGTGCAGGTCATCAGGGAGGGGCTGAGTTGGGCCAAGGACAGGGACAGGTGAGCCCCTGTCGGTATTCCCTGGTTAGAACTGCGAGGCTGGTCCTGGGTCCAGCAAGCACCAGTGCCCACCCCCAGCTGACGTCTTCACGTTTCCCCTTCCCTAACACAGAGCCTGTGACCCTGAGCCTCCGCACAAAATCTCTGAGAGACACAGTGCAGGGCTGGGGTCATGGCTCAGCGGTAGAGCACTTGCCTCACACTGGTGAGGTACTGGGTTGGTCCTGAGCACACATAAAAATAAATAAAGACACTGAACACACAACACACACACACAGCGCAGGGGCCTCTGACTTTTCCTGCTCTTGCGGCAGAGCCAGGCTGCTTCGTGTAAGCCCCATCTTCTGCCTTTTAGTCATCTTTGTTCCCCACCCTGGGCCCTGTGGTTTGTGAGAGCCTTTCGTTGGGCCATATCCTCTGTGGTAACAGGAGCCTGCCCAAGGCCACTGAAGAAAGGCGGTTCCTCAGCCTGTGTCTTTCATCAAGGCCTCAGCCATAATTGCTACAGCTGTTCAGCTGTGGTCCACTAGGACTACTCCATCTTCTTTTCCCTATCAAGTGTTCTGTCATCACTAATGGGAACATGAAGGGACGAGGGATAAGGTTCTCGCTCTGACACAGCAGTTGCCAAAGGAACTTGTGAAATCTTCCTTAGAGATTTTTTTTTTTTTAAGTTTCTTGTTTGTTTTTGTTTCTTTGGTACTGAGGATTGAATCCAGGGGTGATTTACCACTGAGCTACATCCCCAGCCCTTTTTACTTACTTATTTTTTTATTTTGAGAGAGGGTCTCACTAAATTTTGGAGTCTGGCCTCGAACTTGGGATCCTCCTGCGTCAGCCTCCCTAGCCCCTGGGATTAAAGATGTGTGCCCAGCTTTTCTTAGAGATTTTTAAAACAGGGATGGCTCAGATAGTGGGGAGAACAATGGATAGAGGGCTTTCCTCGGCCTTCTCCCTTTCTGCCTGCTCCCCTACCACCTTTCTTGACTAGTTTCTTTCTTTTGGGTGCCTGGGGAAAGTTCTTGGTGAGCCTTGGAGACCCTGGTGGGCCTGGGCTAAACCCTCCACTGGGTGGTCCGTGGGCCAGGGTGAGGTGGGGAGCCAAGGAGGACCCCCTGGGCGTGGACTTGATCTGGGGGAAGTGTGGGAGGGCCCGTTGCAAACTCCCCCTCTGGTGTGTGGTGGGCAGGTCCAGGAATGGCTGCAGGGACCTCCAGGCGCAGAGTAAGCCTGGCTTCTGGTTCCCGCTGTGGTCTTTGTCTTTCATTTAAAAATAAATTTTAGGGGTGGGGCTGAGGCTTAGTGGTAGGGGGCTTGCCAACATGTGTGAGGCCCTGGGTTTAATTCCCAGAACTGCAAAAAACAATAAAACAATTTTTTATTTAAGCAAAGTGTACTACATATAACCCATAGCACTGCAAAAATAAATAAAAGTGTAGTACATAGATATATTTTAAAAATTGTGGGGTGCAGTGGTGCTCGCCTATAATCCCAGCTCTTTCAGAGGCTAAAACCGCAGGATTTTGAGGCCAGCCTGGAAAAATTAGGAAGACCCTGTCTCAAAAAAATTTAAAACGCTGGGGATGTAGCCGAGTGCTAGAGTGCCCCTCGGTGCAACACCCAGAACATGAAAAAGTAAATATTAAGTATTGCAGGGGCAGGTGTAGCTCGGAGCGGAGCAGTTGCCTGGCATGCGCGAGGCCCTGGGTTCCATCCCTAGCACCGCCAAAAACAACTGGGTGCTGTGGAAAGACTTAGGGCGGAGGGGCGTGGCCCAGCAGTGGAGTGCATGCCCAGCACGCAGGAGTCCGTGGGTTCCTCCCCCAGCACCACCACAGGGTAACCTTGGCTTAAAACAAAGCCCTGCACCAAGCTCCGCCACTCGCTCTTTCATCCCCCATGCTGCTCCTGCACAACTTGTCACAGCCCTTCATGATGTGTGCACCCCAGACGCTGCACACAGGGCCCTGCACCTGCGACRCCAGCACCCTGCCCACCCAGCCTTCTCGTCCACACTGCCCACCCTGTTCCTGGTCTAGAGCACCTGCTTTTCCCTGCACTTTTTTAGGGGGGATACCGGGGATTGAACCCAGGGGCACTCAACCACTGGGCCTCGCATTTTTGCTGAGGCTGGCTTTGAACTCCCGATCCTCCTGCCTCAGCCTCCTGAGCTGCTGGGATTACAGGCGTGCGCCACCCACCCGGCTCTCTGGTTTTTTTTTGTTTATTTTTTTTAATATTTATTTTTTTATTTCAGGTGGACACAATATCTTTATTTTTTTAATTTTTATGTGGTGTTGAGGATTAAACCCAGTGCCCCGTGCATGCCAGGCTAGCATGCTACTGCTTGAGCCACATCCCCAGCCTTTTTTTTTTTTTTTTAGTTGTAGATGGGCACAATATCTTTCTTTCTTTATTTTTATGTGGTGCTGARGATTGAACCCAGGGCCTCACACACCCGAGGCAAGTTCCCAGCCCCAGCCCCTCTCTGCACTTTTGATYTCAGCTGAGAGGCGCACCTGTGCTCTCTATAGGAGGTGTCCAGGTGGGCAGCTCCAAGTAGCCTCCACGTTCACTTTTCCGAGAGGTCAGTTTGTATGTGTGTAAACAGCCATTGCTTTTCGGCTAAGCCGCTCCTCGGCCTGACTCTGGTTTCAGGAGCAAAGCCACATGCTGCCAGCCTGCTCTCAGGGCAGTGTGGCCTCACCCAGCTGTGGCTTTGCACCCAGGTGCCGACTCTGTGCCCCTGTGAGGTGAGGCCCTTTCCTCGCCACCTCCACCCCTCTACATTTTCACTCTTCTGTACTTTTCAGGTTCGTGAGAGCTTTTTTAGTTATAATCAGAAAAAAAGGAAAGTTTGAAATAGGTGAACAGTGAGGAGGGTGCCCTCTGGGCTCTGAGGGCTCTCTGTATGGCTGAGTCCCACAGCAGGTGAGTGTGGGTACCTGTGGCACTGCCCCCTCAGCCCACCCAGCCCAGCCCTCTGGCCCACAGAAAGCCATGGCGAGGTGTAGCCCTGCCCACCTGGCCCCACCCCCCACTGTGCCTCGACAGGTGGCCATGGTGGAGGTGCAGCTGGAGACGCAGTACCAGTACCCACCGCCGCTGCTCATTGCCTTCAGCGCCTGCACCACGGTGCTGGTGGCCGTGCACCTGTTCGCCCTGCTCATCAGCACCTGCATCCTGCCCAACGTGGAGGCCGTGAGCAACATCCACAACCTCAATTCCATCAGCGAATCACCGCACGAGCGCATGCACCCCTACATTGAGCTGGCCTGGGGCTTCTCCACCGTGCTGGGCATCCTGCTCTTCCTGGCTGAGGTGGTGTTGCTCTGCTGGATCAAGTTCCTTCCAGTGGATGCCAGGCGCCAGCCTGGCCCCGCGCCAGGCTCCGGGGGCCACACAGGCTGGCAGGCTGCGCTGGTGTCCACCATCATCATGGTGCCCGTGGGCCTCATCTTCGTGGTCTTCACCATCCACTTCTACCGCTCACTGGTGCGCCACAAGACAGAGCGCCACAACCGGGAGATCGAGGAGCTTCACAAGCTCAAGGTGCAACTGGACGGGCACGAGCGCAGCCTGCAGGTGGTGTGAGGGCCGCGAAGGCGCCTGGGATAGCACCACCCACTGTACCAGAACGGCCGCGGCAGGGCTTCCAGAAACGCAGATGCTCGCCAGGCTGCTGGATGCGGCCAGGCAGGCCCCGACCAAAGTCTTACTCCTGTCTCGATGCCAAAATAACCCGGAAGCCTGGGCCGGCCCCTCAGAACATGGCACTGCGGTGACGCAGGAGGCTGGGTTGCCAAGAGCTGTGGGCAGAGGAAGCCCACGTGTCCCCTCATGGGCTCTGTGCAGCACAGTGAGCGGAGAGTCTCGGAGACCAGAACCTGTGGCCAGCAGGGCCAGGGTCKTGGGTTCAGAGGCGGACCTCATGACCACTTGCCAGTGCATGGCTCCCCGAGGTTGGACAGGGCTGGGCCACTGAAGGGAACAGGACTCGGCTTGGCTTGGTGCTCCCCTCCTGGCCCTGGAAGGAGTGGGGCAGCCTGGCGGGGGCGGGAAATGGGAGCCTGGCGCATACGTTGGCCCCACAGGTGTGGGTGCTACTGGGGTGAGGCTGCAGGGCCTACGGGAGACTTCCCAGGCTCAGGCCCCGTTCCTGGGGCAGGTCAGTGTCTGTGGGCATCCTGCATGATGCCCTGCTAAGAAGCTGAGTTCACTGGAGGCTCCAAGGCGTGCCAGGCTCAGACAGTCTTTGCCAGCAGCCTGGAGCCTGGCCACACTGATTTACTGAGGCCACCAGAAGGGGAAAAGGCCCCCACCTGTCCAGAGGCTCCACCTCTTGACCACTAGAGGCTGAGCCAGAGTGAGCCACTGCTTTGGGCTGCATTAGCAGCAGGCTGGGCACTGCAGCCATCCTGGCCTCCTGTGGCCTCGAATGCTGAGAGGAGATAGCCTGGGGTGTCAGCAGGGCCACTGATCCTGCTGGGCCTGTAGCAACCCAGTGTGGCCTCCTTGTTAGGACACTGTGCAGCCACAGGGACGGCAAGGGCCCCAGTGTACCCCTGCTGGGCCCGCCAGGTCTTGGGGACACAGATTCCCTCCCTGTTTACACACTGTGCAGTGTAGGGCTGGCGTCACCAAGGCATCTGGTAGACCCTGCCCACGCTGCTGGCGTGCCCGTCAGTGCTACTGCATGAGCTCCCGTGGCACGCACAGCACCTGAGCTGCTCTGAAACCATGTTTACCCCCTTTCCAGCAGCAGCCTGGAGAGGGGCGCCTCGTCTCTCGTTCTGTACATAAACGGCCACTGGCTTCGTGTTCTGTTTACCTTCCTCAACAGCTTACAGTGTGTGGGCTCTGGGCCGGGCTGTGGGTCCTGGAGGGCCTGGTGAGGTCTCTGGAAAAGAGACATGCTATTGAGAATGGAATCCTTGACACACAGTTCTGAGATGCTGAGGGGCCGTTGGGAATCTGCCCAGGGAGCCTGAACACAGTGTCCCCTGGGCAGAGGGTGCCTCCACCTCTCCAGGCATCTCTGCTCCCCTGGAGCCCTGCTGAGGAGGCCCTCGTGTTTGCTCTGCTCACGGGTGTGGGCATCACTGCAAGATGCTGCTCACGTCCTGGCAGGGGTGAGACGGGCTGGCCCTTCTGAATGAGCGGCTCCCAGACCTGGGAGGGACAGAGGGCTTTTCCTCTGGCTGGAGCCTTTTGAGGCTCCTGATGCCACTTTCCAGAGCCATCTGGTACCCCTGTCCCCAGGGCACCCAGCTCCTCAGGCTGGGCCACCTGCCCCAGTGCTGGCGGGGCAGGTGCTACCCTGGTCCACAGGTAGTCCACCAGGTACCTGTGCTGTCCTCGCGGTGCCTGTTCAGATTTGGGGCGAACAGCCTCTGAGGGAAGAGAGATGACCCTGCAGGAGGGGAACCTCAGGGCTGCCCTGAGCTTGTCCCAAGATGGGGATAACCTGCCATTGGGAGTGGCACAGAAACCTCAGTGTGGCAGGCTGGAGGATGGGGGGACAATCAGGCTACAACTTCAGTTTCTGGAGGCGTAACCTGATTTTGCAAAGCGTAGCCTCGGCCTGGTGACAGGCACTGGGGCCACCCCGGAGCCAGCACAGGCTTGCCCTGGTTTTGTTTAGCGTCCTTCCTGGTGCTGAGCTGAGAGCCCACAGGCACGCCAGGCCCTGTGCAGTGAGGGCCGCAGGCCCCTGGCCCGTGCGAGTTGCAGGGTGTTTCTGGTGTAGAAGGGCAAAGGCTGGTGTCATTAGTATGTTCTCCGAAGGTCTGTCGAGGACAGACTGCGTGAGCCAGGTGGGTGGAGGCTCACCGCAGCCAGCGTTGGTGCCACTGGTTACACATGTGTGACGCTTGTGCAGATCATGCAAGGTGGCCTGACTCTGTCCTGTGCATGGATTTTTAACGTCACCCTGGATTGGATGGAATAAACCAGTAAAGCTGCTCCAACCTCCCTGTGTCTTGGTGGGATGTCCTGGTCCTTCCTGGCTGCTGTGCCAGGAACCCTCAGCCTGGCCTGGGAGTCCTGGAGCCCACCGGCCTTCTGCTGCCCCTGGCCAGGGTCCTGACAGGCTGCCCCACCGAGGGGCATGGAATTCCCTATAATAGATAGGCAGGGTGCTGGGACAGAGGCCTGTGCCAGTAGAGCCCCAAAAGGACCCTGCAGCTCGGTGGCCTCTGCTCTTTTCTTCCCCATGGGGCTCTTTTTCTGGAAACTGTGTAAGGAGCTGGGTAGTTGGCTGCCAAGGGAACCCTTTGGACAGTCAGCTAAAGGTCCCCAATTCCTCCAGGAGAGGCACTACTGAAGCTCAGGTCCCTTGGGTCCCTGTGGTCCTGGGTTCATTTAGCCCAGTGGCACTGACAGAAAGGCACCCAGAAATTCTGTTTGGGAACAGTTATCCCCTGGGGTAGAGGCCCCCTTCCAGGAGAGATTCCTGTCCCTTATTAATGCTCCAGCCCTTCAGCCTGGAAGCTGCTGGAAGCAGGCACAGCAACCTGTGCCAGCATGCGGAGACACTCTGGCAGCACCACATCCTGCCAACCAGAGAGCTAGGTGGCTGAGGCCCAGAGGGTAGCCAGCAAGTGGGCCTTCCAGCGGACAAGTGAGCATTGACAGTGAAGGCCACCATTTCCTTCAAGGAAAAATGTTCAGAAAGATGGGACCCTTCCCTACCCATGTGGCAAGCTGCCACCTGCTCTGTGGACCTCTTCTGTGGGGACCCCAGAAGGCCTGCGTAGTGGGACCACCCAACACCCAGCAGACCCAATGAGAGACTTCTGTCCCCAGCTTGGTGTTTATTTTGTTTTTTCTGGTGTTGGGGATGCGTGCTGGGCACCTTCTCCACTACTGAGCTACATCCCCAGCTGTCCTGACTCGGAGACCTCTGGAAGGATGAGGGTTCTGGCATCAAGGGAAGGCTGAGCGCAGAGACCCCTGCCATGTCCATTTAGGATGTGCCAAGTCCTCTTTCCAGCCTGTGCTGCTCTCCACACTTGGGCTGCCATGGGCCACCCTAGAGGCCACTTAGTTCAACACACACCAAGGCGGGGAGACCCTGGGAGGCTCAAAGTTCAGCCCGAGGCAGGACCACCAGGTCTCACCACATAAGCTGCACCAAGCTCCCTTCAGGTCTCTGCACAGCGGCAAGCCGAGGGTGCCCGCTGAGCCACCAGGAAGGGCACTGCTGACCTCTCCTGAGGCCGTCCACAAGAGCCTTAGGACAGCACAGTCCGCATGGCCTGTGCCTGGTCTGTAGGGAGTGTGCTGGAGGGAGCAGACCCAGGCGGCCACCCAGTGCAGAGACAAGGGACCTCAGTACCCCCAATGGCAGCTGCTGGGGACCAGCCCTTCAGAAACGCACTGGCAGTGGTGCATGCTGGGTGACAGGAACGGCCCATCTTGGGAGCAGCTCCAGGGACAGACTCAACTCTGGAGGTCATCAACATGACTGTCACGTAATGGGACTTTCCCAAGCATCTCGTGCAGGACTGCAGGAAGGGTCACGTGGAGTGCACGGCAAGCACTGGGCCAGCCAGTGGGCGGGTCTCCAGGCTGCTCGGGTTTGAGCCTTTCTGTGCCTCTCCCTGTGAGGTCTCAGTGTCACATTTCCCAAACACACACTGCCCTCCCTTACCGCCACATCCCGTCCCAGGCAAAGGCTCTGCAGAGCCCCGACAGGAGGACAGTCACATGCCTGCCATCTTCTGGCTCCGTGAGTGGACAGGGGTGGCAGCCACGGGGGCCAGGAGCCAACTCCAGCTGCTGGGCACTGAGAAGCCTCCTGGGTCGCTGCAGGGTTCCCCTGGTTTGGCAGCAGCTCAGCAGCTGGACACTGCTTCATAGACAGCACCTGCCGACTCAGCTGTTCTGGATGACCCTGGAGGTAGTGCCGGTCCCCTTTCCTGGGAGGTGATGCGTCCCTGTTCCTCTAAGGTGGCTCCCATCACATAGCCATAAGCCAAGACGAGGGAGGGGGCTGCCATATGGGTGTGGGAACACCGCCACCCCCTCAGTCATGGGTGAATGGGGCAGCTGCCCTAGGCAGGTGGGCACCCACACAGTGCACGCCACCAAGGGCACAACCTCGAGGTATCCCAGGGGGTGAGGGCCCCTACCTTTTAAATCCCAATGTGAGGATGTGGGAGGGGGCAGGCTTTCAGATGTCCCTGCCCAAGCCCCCACCCCAGGGGGTCAGCATGACCCAAGCTGGGCCCAACTCAGAAGTTGCTGCCACCTTCTGAACTTCAGATCTACCACCAGTGACTCTCCAGTCCAACATGCCCCCAACAGAAGGGCTAGATGGCAGGGTGTCTGGAAAATTCATTCAGAGGAACAGATAAGAAAACATTTTACACCAAACTGTTGACAAGTCAACCCAAATGGTGGCCACAGTGCAGGCACAGGGGAGACCTCAGGCTCTGTCCCATCAAAAGCAGCTCCCCATATGCTAGAGGCTGAGGTAGGAGGATCACATGTTCGAGGCCAAACTGGGTAACTTAGAGGTTATCTCAATATTAAAAAAGGCTGTGGCTCAATGGTAGAGTGCTTGCCTAGCACGTGCCAGGCCCTGGGTTCCATCCCCAGTGCTACAAAGAAAACAACTAGCAGCTGGGCAGGACCTAAGGCACATGCTGCCCATGACAACGGGATCAGTTCAGATGGCTTCTATCAAAACCTAATGAGGGCCAGGCACGCCTGTAATCCCAGTGACTCAGGAGGCTGAGGCAGGGGGATTCCAAGTTCAAAGCCAGCCTCATCAACTTAGTGAGGCCCTGTCTCAAAATAAATATAAATATGGAGGGCTGGGGATGTAGCTCAGTGGTTAAGTGCCCCTGGTTCCATCTCCAGTTAAAAAAATACCTTAGTGAAGGGAGTTGGGTGCAGTAGTGCACAGCAATAATCTCAGCTACTTGGAGGCTGAGGCAGACTGCCAAGTTCTAGGCCAGCCCTGGCAACTTAGCAAGACTGTCTCAAAATAAAAAATTAAAAAGGGCCTGGCCGTAGCTCAGTGGTAAACCACCCCTGGTTTCAGTCCCCAGCACCACACACACAGGCTCCCACTTCAGTCCCGGGCCGTGGTCAGTGCTGGGGCTGGACTCTGGCCAGGCCCTGCTCGGGCTCCTGTCCCGGGACGCAGCTCACACGGGCCTGCCTTGGAAGGAGAGTGCCATTTGCAGGAGCTCTCGGCCCAGGTCCTGCTGCGCGCCCCCTGGGCCGAACTCAGCTGACAGCTCCCTGAAGGTGGCGCAGACGCGGCGGGCCTCGATGTGCCTGCGATGGATGGCGTGTGTCCACTGGTGGCGTGCGGCCCCAGCGAGCACCAGCAGGGACCGGCAGGGTACGGGGATGGCCACCTCCACCTCCTGGCACGGAACGGACCTACTGGGGGCGATCACGCTGTCCCCGAGGGCCTCGGCAGAGGGGGCCGCGCAGAGTAGCAGGCTGCCAGGTGCCTCCCGGTGCATGGACACCACGGTGGGGGACAGGAGGTTGAGGCTCACCAGCCGCTCCCCCCACAGCCAGGCGTCGTCCAGGTGGGGGTCGATGGCGGAGCCCCGCTCGGGGCAGTAGTCCAGGTTGCACTGCTCGACGGGCTGGAAACCCTCCAGCCCGGGGTACAGCCCCATCCTCCGCACCACCTCGCGGCTGAAGCTCGGGAGGCCGCAGAAGCCCGCCATCTTTAGCTTCTGTTTCCGAAAGTTGACTCTGGGGCCGTAGTCCTGAGGGTGGGACGGAAGGGTCAGAAGCCAGGCGGGCTGATGTAGGGCATGCTGAAAACAGGGAGAGGGCACCGGCCAGCCTGCTGGCGTGGGGAGATGGTGGCAGGTGCAGCGTGGGCTCAGAAGCTGGGCGCATTCTGAAGGCAAGGCTGACGGGAGTCACCAAGATGGCCAGGAGTCAGCACAAGCCGCAGGGCCGATGGCCTTGGCCTGAGCAGGAGGAGGCGGATTCAGAGGTGAGGACCCTGGGCGAGACTTGGGGCTCAGACCTAAGGGCCCCCTCAGCCTGGCCAGGGGCATGAGGCTTTCCAAGAGCAAAGCCACCCGGATGGGACCCCCAGCCTCAAGGTCAGGGAAGAGGAATCAGCCTGGGGGGCTGGGGAACCAAGGGCTGCTGGGACCCGAAGTGGACAAAGAGCCTGTCCCTAAGCAGAGAGCCTGGCTCTGTGGGCAGAAGAGACCTAGAGGCCTGAAATCTGAGGAAACGGGAGGTGGGGACTGAAGACAGAGGGACCCGCCACACTCCTGCTAGAGACCAGGCCGCCAGGGGCTGCAGTGCCGGTGGAAAGGGCCCGGGAGGGCAGACACTGGAGCAAGGGCTTCTGCCAGGGAGAGGGGCCTCAGCACCAGCATCCGCATGGGGACAGTGCTCTCCACAGGGGCGGAGGGGACAGCGAAGGCAGGCGAGGAGCAGCAGTGTGTGGCTGGGCATCCTGGGAGCCAGAGCAGGTGGGCACGGTTCAGGGAGCAGCCTAAGCAGGGCACATCCTCCAGCTGGCTGGATGTCACCAGTGAGGGAAAGAAGGTTGAGGGTGTCCAGGGAAGCAACCATCAGAACCAGCTATGTATGGAGGCTGGATGAGGGGAAGTAAGGAGGGAGGTGGGAGGGTGGACGCAGGCCCTGAGGGCCGGAGATGGAGGGAACAAGCGAGCTGGCGGAACAGCAGGAGGAAAATGAGGAGGGACACTGGCCCTGCTGAGGGCAAGTCAGGAGTGCCAGCAGAATGTGCAAGATAAAGGATGTGATGGGAGGGGCGGTGCCTGGAAGCCCCTGCAGCCCCCAAAAGGCGAGGATCACTGTCCAGAACTCGCCTGTGACATCCCACCCCAGAGCCCGCTGTGCAGAGGGGCATGGCAAGCCTTGCGGGGAGTCTGAGCAGGCCCAGATGCTGGATGCACCCTCCTCGGTGGCACTGCTGCCCATGTCCCACCCAGGGATCCGTGAGGCGTGGCTGCAGAAGAGGTGAGCTATGGGTCCCCAGCAGCATGACTGTCCCATGGCCTAGGCCAGCCCTCAGCATGGCTTAGGGCACCATACCTGCTTCCTCCGCCCCGACTGAGAAAGCTTCCAGGGGTCGCGATCCATAAGACGCACCATCTCGGCTTCTTCCTCCCTGGTCACAAAGTCCTCGATCAGGGTCACCCCTGGAAATGGGAAGGCCCAGCCCTCAAAGTCAGAGTCCTCAGCCCCCACGGCCCAGCCAGAGTCCGAGCAGTAAAGGAAATGGTGTGTTTTCTGCAAAGAAGAGACAGGTCTTGTCACTCCTGCGGCCTTCCTCAGGGGGTACACGCTCACCCTGGCACCTTGGGAGACCCCACCCAGAGGCCACCTTGGGGGGGTTTCAAAGGTGTCTCCCTCCCTTGAAGCCACCTGGGAGGGCAGCAGGAGTCTAGAGACGCCCCTGGGGAAGGCCCAAGAAAAAAGGGACGGAGAGGAAAGAAGGAGCCAGAAACCAAGGCGCAGATTCAGTCTCCTGCTCCACCCTCCCTGGCCCTGTTCTACTCTCCACTTGACAGAGGAGGCTCAGCAAAGTTAAGGACCTAGCCCAAGGTGCAAAGCCAGGGAGCGGGCACTGTGTCACCGGTGGCATCATCTGTCCCCCCAGCCTTGCAAGAGTGATAGGACAGGACCTAAGTGAGAGCATCCAAGCCAGGCCTGGGCTCAGAGGAACATGCTGAGCCTGAAGCTGAGCCCTGGCTGTCTCAAGGCAGTGATGCCTGTTGGGAGCCCAGGGGACACACCCTCTCCAGCAGAGCTCCTGTCCTCTGGGCCCTAGAGGTCCTCCCTGGAACTCTCCTTCAGAAAAGGGCCAACCTGGCCGGCCATCCTCAAGGGGAGTGAGCGGCTGGCTGCCTGCCTCTCTGCCCAGTGATGCCCACCTGTCGCAGATCAGGAAGGGTCCTTGTTCCCTGTGTTTAAGAATAAACACCGAGAAACACCATGGCAAGTGTAGAAAGCAAGCTGATTTGAGAAAGGGACAGAGATGTCTCCAAAGAGAAGAGGCCAGAGCTGGGTGTCTGTGGGAGGGGTGGCCTCATCTCTTATAGACCAGGACCCCCCTTTTAATTACTGTCTTCTCCATGTTGGAGTCTAGGGTAGGAAGGAGGGGAGCAGGAGGCTAGCCCTCAGCCTCCCCTTGGCCTTTCTTTGATAACCAGTGGTCATCCTCTGGACCCCGATCATTCATCACTTATATTGACTACTTGGCCTTTGCCCCCAGCCTCACCAGGGCCAAGACAGTCCCTCATCCTGGGAGTCCCAAGCCTCATCGCCCTGTCCCTGCTCTGACCCGGGCATCCATCTCAGTCTCCTCATCCTCACTTGGGGTGACCCACCTCGACACCCCTCCACCCTGGCTGGCTCTAGACCCCTCAAGTCCCTCTGCCCTGCCGCCACCCCTGGGGCTAGGAATGCTCTCAGTCTCCCTGGCCTGGAATCTTCCTAAACCACAGCCCCTCCTCCTCTTCCTCCTCCTATCGGCCCCCACCCCATCCCTGCAGCCTCACTGCCCAAGGCCATTCTCCCCCAGCCCCTCTCCACTGTGTTGACCTTGGTCATCAGCCGCCTGGCCAATACCTCAAAATGTTCCCTTGGCCTTGGATACACTGTTCTCTCCTGACCCTCTTTGTGAATGAAAAGTTAATAAAATCGCTATTGGCCTCCATGGCACTCAAGATCTTGGAAGGATCAATCTAACTGAATCCCTGGCCAGCTCTAAGGAGGAGGCAGCAGAAACATCCCTCTGTGTGGGACACAGGCACAGACATGTGGAGGAGCTAGCCAGGGCCACCTGGTGGGCCTCAGTCCTGGCCTCTACAGCCTCAGTTCTTCTACTCCTGGGGTCTCTTTTCCTCTTAAGCTCCCCCTCCAGCCTCCAACTCCAGCTAGTCACATCCTGAGCCTTGGACCACCCCCTCCCCCCTGTCTGGGCCCCTCACATAGGACACACTGAAACCAGGGAGTCTCCTGGCCATCTTGCTCTCCTTGTCCCACCGCCATCAAGTCAGGACACTGTGACCTCCACAGGGCCATCTCTCCACACCCAGGGTCACTGCACACTTCAGACCTTCTGCACTTAAATACATTCACACTGTTGGGCAGCTGTCACCACTGTCCATCTCCAGCACCCCTCCTTTTTGCAAAACTGTATCCATTAAAACACTAACTCCCCATCCTCCCCTCCCCAGCTCCTGGTAACCTTCATTCCACTTTGTGTCTCTATGACTTTGACTACTTGGGGTTCCATATATAAGAACAGGCACCCAGTATGTGCCCTCTTGTTGTTTTGTTCTTTTGATGCTGGGGACTGAACCCAGGGCCTCACACATGCCAGGCAAGYGCTCTACCACTGAGTCACAACCCCAGCCCACATCTGGCCTTTTGAGACTGGCTTATTTCACTGAGCATAATATCCTCAAGGTCATCCCCAGTTCGGCATGTGTCAGGCTTTCCTTCCTTTTTAAGGCTGAATAATGTCCATTGTATGAACCGCCCACATTTTGCTTTTCCACTCATCTCTTGATGGACACTTGGGTGGCTTCCACCTTTTGTTATTGTGAATAACACTGCTACAGCACGATGAACAAAGGTCTCAAAGTCTCACTTTCATTTCTATTGGATGTAGACACCAGAATGGGATTGCTGGATCATTTGGTAATTCTAGATTAAATCTGTGAAGCGCACCACACAGTCTTCCACAGGACCATGGGCACTTTTACCATCACATTGGCCCCTCCACTCCGGGATCCTTCCAAAATTCACATTTCACCTTATAATTCCTTTAAAACCCTCCAGGAGCTCTCCAGGGTCTTCAAAACAAGTTCACCTGCTTCAGAGGACACGGGGCCTCTGTCCTCAGGCCCCTTTGACCTCCCCAGCCTCCTCTCCCTCACTCCAGCACCATCCTCGTTCCCAGCACAATCACGACCCCAGGCCTCTACCCAAGCAGGTCCCCTGGCCGGAGCGCCTGGCAGCCACCTGCAGCATTGCCAGGCTCTGAGTTCTCGAATTAGTGCCTCCTCTCCAGTTTCCGTGCAAGGTCTCCGGGCATCGCTGGCCGGGCATTCGGCACCCACCGCCCTTTCTGCGTGTCTCCCTCGTGCTGTGGAGCCCCGAGGGGCCAAGGCGAGCTGCGCTGACAGATCCCCCCCAAAATCCCTGAGGAGGGCTGCGGGCCGACCCGCCCACGTCGCAGCCGCCTCCCACTCGCCAGACCACTCCTCCAAGCCCCCATCCTCGGGCCCCCAGCGCCCCTACCTCGGGCCCCCAGCGCCCCTACCTCGGGGGCCCCTGGCAGGCTCCGACCCCGGCCCGCATCAGGGCCGAGCTGGGCCTCAGTTTCCCCATATGGAGAACGTAGTCCATCTGAGTGGCCCCTCTCTCAGCCCTTACCTGCGGGGACAGCTGCCAAGGCGGGTCACCGCAGCGCTGCCCCTCGCAGATCAGACAGGTCCGGATGCCCTTGCAGCCGCACTGCTGCAGGACCTCGGGGGCCTCTGCAGCCGCCATCGCGCCGTCCGTGCGAACAGCGCGCGTGCGCGGCGCGGGGCCCGCTGGGAGTTGTAGTCCGCGCCTGCACACGGCCTCGGCTCCGCTTCCTTCCGGTGGTCTCTGTCTCGGGACTTGCGCGGCGCCACCTCCTGGACTCGGTAACGGCGAACAGGAGCTCCTGACGGCGGGCATCCCGAGCTCCTCCGGACTCCAGGAGACCGAGGGGGCCAGCGCGGGCCGCGCCCGCTCGCCATGGGCCCCCTCACGGCGCGGCTGCTCATGCAACGCGGGCGACCCAAGAGCGACCGGTTGGGGAAGATCCGGAGCCTGGAGTAAGAGCCGGGCGGGGGAGGCTGTGTCCGCGTGCGCGGGGGTCCCGCAGCCCCCCGGGTCGCCCAGGTCGCTCGGGGGCTGGAAGAAAGGCCAGGGCCCCTCCCCTCCCGCTGCCTGTCTCCGTTATCGTCCCCTCGCCCTGGCGGAGTCTCATCACGCGCCAAACGTCCTAAGAGGCGCACGGGACCTTTGCCGCCCTGCGTGTATGCCAGGTGGGCCCGAGTGGCTCTACCCCTGCCGAGGGCAGAAGGAGAGTGTTGCGCCACCCGCTGAGATGTTTAGAGAAAAGCACAGAGGAGCTCCCAGAGGATCAGGAAAAGCGTCCCGAGGACGACAGCAGCCCCGGGTTCTAAAGTAGCTATAAGGTTTTTTAAAATTTCCGTGCATGCACAAGAAATATCAGGTGAAACCCTTTCCGCGGCGGCCTGGGTACTTGGGTGTGGGTTGGGAGGCCTGCTGTTCCCTGAGCAGCCTTCCCTCTGCCCCCACGCAGCCTGTCACGGCTGAACCTGCTCTCTGAGCACCTGGACCCGAAGCTCCTGAGCCGCCTGAAGCAACTGCAGGAACTTGACCTCTCCTACAACCTGCTGGAGACCCTGCCGCCCAACCTGGGCCTGCCGCACCTGCGCATCCTCCGCTGTGCCAACAACCAGCTGGGGGATGTCACTGCCTTAAGCCAGTTCCCACATCTGGAGGAGCTTAGCCTGGAGGGCAACCCCTTCCTGACGGTAAGTGGGGTCTCCCACCAGTCCCATGCCCCTGTGTCGGGACTCCATGGTGTTCAAATTCCACTATTCCTTCATCTCTTAGGTCAATGACAACCTCAAAGTCTCCTTTCTCCTGCCCAAGCTACGTAAGGTCAATGGCAAGGATGCGTCCTCCACTTGCGCTCAGATGGAGAATCTGAACCGGGAACTGATGAACAGGGTAAAGGCAGGGAGAAGTTTATCTAGGCGTGCTTGGGAGCAGTGGGGGGCATTGAGGGAGTGACAGAAGAGGACACTGAGCTGGGTTTTAGGGGCTCCTCACCTGGACTGCCTGGCATGTTACTCTGTGCCTGGCTACAGCTCTGCTTCTGTCTTTGGAGGTCCTGCCCAGCAGGTGTGCAGGCGGGGCACAGGGAGGCTGGGACCAGCTGGTCCAAGCAGGTTTGGGCCAGTCCTCCTTGCTTTGTGCTAGTGCCTTTAAGAGGCTCCCGGTAGGGGGTAAAGACTCCTGTGATATGGTGGGAGGGGCTGGGCTTGGATTTGGTTCCTCCCTACTAGGTCACAGCTCACTGGGAGAAGTTCGTGGCTGCACTGGGCCCTGGAAAGGAGACCAAGAAAGCCCAGGCTGACTTCGTGAAGTCCGCCGTCAGGGACGTGTGCTATGGCCCGGACTCTCTCCGCGAGTTCACCCAGTGGCGCGTATGTACTCACCCCGTGGTGCCAGGGGTCAGTTTCCCTGGCTCTCACTGCCTTGGAGGTGTCTGTCCTTGAGTGGCTGGTGACTGTGGGGAGCAGGGTGGGTCAGGGACAGCAGCTGCAGAGGCCCTTTCCCAGAGGCCCAGCTCCCTTTGACCTGGTGTCTGGTGAAGGGCTTGGGGCATCAGGACCGTGCCCAGCTTCCTGAAGGCCTGGCCCTGCCCAGGTTCGGATGATCTCTGAGGAATTGGTAGCCTCCGGTGGGACCCAGGTGCATGAGGCAGACGTCCCAAAGAGGCCCCAGGAAACTACAGCTACCTACAAGCCCAGGGTGAGTGTGACTCCATGGGGCTCCTGGGGCCAAGGACCTGCCTTGACCCTCAGTCCCTGGGAAAGCTACTGGAAATCAAGAGGGGGCCCAGGAGACTCTTGCCTGTGCCCAAGCTGTCAGAGAGCTTTCTGTCACTGTGACAAAGTGCCTGAGATAATCAGCTTGCAAAGAGGAAAGGTTTATTTTGGCTCACAGTTTCTTCAGTCCATAGTCACTTGGTCTCATCACTTGGGGTCTGTGGCAGCACGGTACATTATGGCTGGCACATGTGGTAGAGGAACCCTGATCACGTCATGATGGTCAGAAGGCAGGTTGGAAGGGACCAGGGGGCTGATATCCCCTTTAGAGGCATGCCACCAGTGACCTGACTGCCTTCCACTGGGCCCCACCTCCCAGTGGCGTCACGAGCAGTGACTGTGGGTGACCAATTGAACACCCAAACCATAACACTGAGCAGACTCCTCCGCGACCTGGAGCAGCCCTTGCCTCCTGTGCCCTCAAGAGCACCCAGTCTGCCTGTGGTCGGGAGGAAGAAAGCCCCAGGCAGGTGTACCTGTGGTCACCAGGCCCCCTCCACAGGCCAGGCTGGTGTCCTTGAAACGGCCAGATGATGTCCCACTCAACCTTCCTTCCACCAAGCGGGCTTGTAACTTCCCGTCAGCCCAGACGGAGGGCGGCCCCTCAGGCCCCGACAGCAGCCAGGTGAGGAGCCAGGTCCAGGGGTGACGTGTTGGGGGAGCAGGAGTGGGTAGCCATGATGCCTTGTGTCCCCACAGCCTGCCCTGCAGCTGGAGCCCCTGCACTTCCTGCAGTGCCACAGCAGGAACAACAGCCCTCAGGACCTGAAGACCCAGCTGTGGGCCTGTGCCTTCGAGCCAGCCTGGGAGGAGGGTGCGTCTCGGGAGAGGGCCACCGGAGCAGAACCACACCATGCGCACTCCCAGSAGGGCCATTGGGGGGGGGGGGCATCCCTGGATAGAGGGGGCAATCAGGAAAGACAGGGCACGGTGGTGCATACCTGTAATCCCCCTGGAGGCTGAGGCAGGAGGATGGCAAGTTCAAAGCCAGCCTCTGTAATTGAGCAAGACCCTGTCTCAAATAAAAAGGGCTGGGGATACAGCTCAGTGGTAAAGTACTCCTGGGTTTAATCCCCAGTGCCACCAAAAAAAAAATAAAAAAATTGTTCTATAGGTCGGGAAGAGGGAGCTGCAGGGAGGGGCTTATGGCAAAAGTTTTCACTCAGATGACCCCTTGAAACAGGGCACTCCGGGGCCACCTCCCAGACGGTGGCCACGTGTGGCGGGGAGGCGGTTTGTGTGATAGACTGCCAGACGGGCATCGTGCTCCACAAGTACAAGGCTCCTGGCGAGGTGAGTGCCAAGGCTGCCGGGCCAAGTGTGGGGTTCTCAGTCCTCCCGACCTTGTCCTCACGCAGGCCCCCAGGCCTGGCGCTGCGGCATGTTCACACTGTAACTGCTCAGTGACCGTTTCCCTGCCTCCTCCAGGAGTTCTTCTCGGTGGCCTGGACAGCCCTGACAGTGGTCACGCAGGCAGGCCACAAGAAGCGCTGGAATGTGCTGGCGGCCGCAGGCCTGCGCGGCCTGGTCCGGCTGCTGCACGTGCGGGCAGGTTTCTGCTGCGGGGTCATCCGGGCCCACAAGAAGGCCATCGCCACCCTCTGCTTCAGTCCCATCCATGAGACCCACCTGTTCAGTAAGACCCTCTCCCCTGACCCAGGGCTTCCCCACATCCCAGTCCTGCTGCCCTGATGGCCTCATGTGTCCCCTCCCTGGGATGGTAGGGAGTTGGTGGCTGCTGGGTGCCCTGGGCCTTGAGTTCAGCTGTGGCGCTGACATGGCTTCCTGGTTAACTGACTGGGCTCTGGATCCGATCTTATGCCCAACCTGCTCTGTGGCCTTGGAGTTTCCTGGAAACCTGGGCCCCTGCTCTGTCAGTGACCTGGGTGGGCACTGCTGGCCCTCAGGGTGAACCCAGCAGAGGTAGTAAAGGAGTGGCAGGAGACTGTGGTGCTGGGCACACTGAGCTCAGCAGGACGGTGGGACAGTGGCCCAAGCCCTATTTCCTAGCCACAGTCCCACTCCCTCCTCTGAAGGGCTGACCTGGGGACCCTGGTCTCAGCCTGGGACGCAGCCTGCAGCAGGGCACAGGGTCCCTCAGGGCTGCTCTCCCCTTCCCATTCCCTCCTCAGCGGCCTCCTATGACAAGCGGATCATCCTCTGGGACATTGGGGTGCCCAACCGTGACTATGAGTTCCAGGCCAGGTGAGCCTGCAGGTGGCCTGGGGAGGGAGCAGTGACCAGCAGGTCACACAGGGCTCCGGACTCATGCTGCCCCTCACCTGCTGGCAGCCAGCTGCTCACACTGGACTCCACCTCCATCCCGCTGCGCCTCTGCCCCGTCGCCCCCTATCCGGATGCCTACCTGCTGGCCGGCTGCGAGGGGGGCTGCTGCTGCTGGGACGTGCGGCTGGACCAGCCCCAAAAGAGGAGGTGAGGCCCGGCAGGGATGCCTGGAAAGCCAGGCCCTGGGACTGGGTGCCCAGCATGCCCCTGCCCTTGGCAGCCTTAGAGACGTCGGGGCCGCTCCTCACCATACWGTGACCAACTGATTTGAGCCAAGGTCCTGCTGCTCAGCAGTGTGACCTTCTTATTAGCGTAATGTCCTTGTCCATAGAAAGGAGACAACGACTTGAAACCCAGGGCTAGTGCAGGGCAGGGAGGTGGCGCATCAGTGTCAACTGGAAAGCCCCTGGGACAGTGCATAGCACGGGTTCCTACCGTGGGACACAGCCTTGCAGGGAGACAGACCTCACAGAGGGGCCAGTGACAGCCCCACAAAGAGTGGTGTCTGCTCCAAAAGAATAATTGGGAGGGGATGTCCTCACGGGGTCAGCCAGGGCACTCTGCGGTAGGCAGCCTACAAGGGCTAGGCAGGGGAGAGGAGGTTGCC